TAAAGATGGGCGATTTTAAATGTGTTTGTTCTTTCCAACAACATTCTAAGGAAGAATGTAACCTTTCCGCTCGAAACAAGAGCGCTAGCTTTATTCTGATTGTGAAGAATTGTTCCAGCAGCACAAAAGAGCATTTGTATGGTTGGTTTAAAGCCTCCCGGGAAGGGGTAGAGGAAGACGGTAAATTATGTTTGGCCTGCGTTGGATTGTTCGACGAGTGCGGAGAAGATCTCACAATTTGTCCCGAGCAAAGGAACGAATTTGGCTTGGGAGGGCGGCCAAGTAAAGTTTGTAAATATCCGGAGCATCAGAGCAAACAGAAACCGTACAGAGGGATATCCAGTCGACTAAAATATATTTACACTTCGGTGTGCTTTGCGAGACTGGACAAGGTAACTCATTGTAATAATGCTGTGTCGGAATACCGGCTACTATTTAAAATGAACACAGCATGAGATAAAATATAAGTTTTGTCACGCTTCCGAGTTAAGATAGTATTATTATTTTGGTTTTCTAGGGATATGTAGGAGATGTTTATTTAATTACAGCGAGACTGTGCGCCGCTCAAAGGAGACAACCAGTGATACACAGGTAAAATACTGTGAAATATATAAATATTGCTTTTCTAAAACGATGGTCATCCCAATAAATTTGGTATTAGGCTTTTATGCAACAATAAGGCAACATTTCAGATACAGTTTTCATTTCGAAAAGTCCTGGCAGCGAGTGCCAGTCGAATGTATAGTATACTCTTTTTGCAAGTGGGGTAGGGGAGTGGAAGATTGGATCAATTGTTTCCAGAACCGAAAACACTTAAATGAATTATTTGCAAGCGCAATAAACCGAAATAAATTGTACGCAATTCCCCAAATAAATTGTTTGCTGCTGCAAGAAGGAAATAATGAGTTGTTTGCATATAAAACGAATCCCTCTCCCCCACCCCATCACTCCAGAGAAGTAATGGTCTGTACCTAACTGCTTATATTTGTGCGCTCAAAGCAAAGTTCTTATGGTTACATGAAACCACATGGTCGTTGTACCCTTTAAGACACCCGAAGAAGGTGAAAGATGAAGGATAATAATTTGACTGTGTTCGCACGGTACACCCTATTTTCAAACTGACTGCAGAAATTTCATTATGATGGGGGACTCCCATTGCCGAGCGTACTGAAAAACACCAGAGGCAGGATATATCCCTAAAGAAATCCACGAGGGTATAAGTGAGCATTTTAACTGCTCCAGCTGCAACAATAAATTGATTACGTACGACCGGCTAAAGAAATATAAGACAATTAAAAAGCATGTGATCATCCACAGTGTCAAAGCGCGCAAAGCATTATGGATGTACTCTTTAGGACGGCTTGGTTAGAATAAAAGCGGACTTATCTCCGTCAAACTATCGGTAATTGAGAAATGTTCCTACGTTGTGCGATTACGTCCAATGTTAGTATGATCGAAACAATGCAGGGTGAACATATTTCTAGTCTTTCAGGGCACCCCAAATTCTTCCCCACTTGTATAAGGGACGGTCCATTATTCACCCCCAATGTTTGGGGGGGAGGGGGTGGAGGGGGAGCTGAAAACCTTTGAAATAAATTGTTTACAGGGCCGTGAGCACTGAGATAAATTATTTGCACGTGCAATAAACCAAAATTAATTGTTTGCAATCAAAAAACTTTTCATTCCTCCGCAAAAAGTAACGATCCGTTTCTAATGTATAGATAATTTTCTTGTATTTTAAGAACCGACCGGGTATGTATAGGGAGGAACTGGAGCTTCCTGACCTTTCTGTGTTATAAGACGAAATGTCGCAGCTGGTTGTTGAGGACGATGAAGAGTCGGAATACGTGCCTACCCCTATGCGAAGAGAGCACTCGGTTTAGAAACGCTAGATAGAAATATTAGCATGTTAACAGGTGGAAGGATAAGCCCAATCCGATTCCAGCTTGCTCAACCTCTAGCTGAGTGCGCAAAGAGTACGCATGTTACATAAAGCGTAAAGCGACAGAAGTTATCACCGCCAGCCCTAACTACATTTCCCCTGGGCGGTCAAAAGAGTTGTTTGATCTTGTTACCATTCAGACCACATGCACCACAAGACGAAAGTCCTGGCGACAAGGTGACAAAGGTGCTGATTTCCCTCTAGGAATAATCGACCTCGTGGTACACAAAGATGACAGTACTTTCCGTTTCTGTTAAGCATTACACGAAATCGCTACAGCAGATGATACTAGGTTTAAACATGTGGCGGATAGACCAGGCAAGGAGGCACGCGGCTGTGGTTGGAGCCGGCGTGACTGAAGGGCGCCAATCTATGGGCTCGACGGCCAAAAACTTGATCATTCTCTGGACATCATCAGTCGCCCCCCATTATATTCAAGATATGGTGTACGACACTAGAAAGCTACAAATGTCAACTGGTGAGGTATTACAGATCCCAAACGCGGTGCGCACTGTGCTAAGCTCCCTTATGGTTGCATTGTACCAGAACTACTGCTGCGAAATGGGGTTTGAATCTCTCGCAAGATCAACTTTTTCGCTGTGCTTAAAGTAAGTAACCCTGTATAAACTGCTTCTTTATTATACATCTTTCCATGTGTTTTTTTTTCTTTCACAGTGTTGACAGGTATGACTAGCATATGTAGATTAGCCTTTTCACTAAAAGATGCCGTATCGTTCTATGCAATCTTTCAATAGTTGTGTGCCGCATAGAAAAACGAAGAACCTCTCAGGCCTGGATAGTGTGACAACTGAGGGATCGTTAGCCTTTGACACTTTGGAAGCTGCCGTTCATACTATCGGGTCACTAGGTAAGCGCAATTGCTCAAATTTGTCATTTGTTATGAAAGTGATCAAACGTGCATGGTAGTCATTAGGTTTGATTAATATTGGTCATAATTTCTCATGGTATATGCAGGCACGTGTACTGAATGGGTTAACAGCATTGTTAAAAGGCTCCGATCAGCCAAGTTGTACC